TACCTTGAAAGATAGTTGACCTACGGCACGTCAAAGTTAGGCCATGGACTCAGACAAGTCAATTTCTTGGGAATCGTTCAATCTAATGCGACAACGGAGTGTTAGACAAAGCCATGGATCTCTGAGATATTTTCTTTAGTAACACAGCAATTGAATAGGTAAATCCATTGACCTAAGGTCAGGTATGGAAGTCAGACCAAGATCAAAGCCAACCTGTTTTATTACTCTGAGGCTTGTTGTATGGGGTAGTTTCTGGCCCTCATTTCGAATAACTTGATAATAGGAACCGCATTATACATATTCCATGGACTTCTTAAAGGTCAAGATAGGTTACTGACCTAGAATAACCCAGGTCAACATTTTGTTCTTGGGAACATACTGCCTAGCGTAGTCTTTGTCGCTGCTTATTGAAATGCAAAACTCAAAGCGGTCTCGCATAGTTTCGTCACCATGACCTTCAAAAGGTCAAACAAGGTCACCGAACTTAGATGAGCATAAGACCTCTTGCTTACAACAGTTATTTAGGTTCTGGTAGCAATTTGGAGACCAACCTGGAGTCTGACCTTCTTTGACTTTATTTGCCCTGAAATTCATGACCTAGGAGCCTCAAACTTTGATTTTAGTGAGTTTACGTACAGGCTAAGACACCCTGGGAATTTGGTGTCTGACTCTATTAGTTCCTGAAATCTCAGGGGGGTCAAATTGACCCTACCCGAGCGAAAGGTTATCCAACCGGCCACCCGGGCGCGAGTTAAACCAAGAGGGCTTTCGAATCAGAGGACTCTCGGAGACGCGCAAGTCAATTAACTAAAAGCGCATATGCACCATTAGGCGCAGACAGGCTGGGAGCAGAACTGGACTGTTGCAGTATCTGCCGCGGTTCTCACTGGACTGTTGCAGTACCTGCTGCCGTTCTCACTGGACTGTTGCAGCATCTGCCACAGTTTTCCGTTGCCCGGCCGTTGACCAGGCGTTATCTATGCAGCACATTGGCGGCTGGCCTGAATGTCCAACATCCGGTTCAGGCGCGGGGCGAGACGCCGACTGGGACGCTATCTCACGGCTTGCACGGGGCGTCCGTCGCGGTACGCCCCGATAGCGGCCTGTTCTCTTCCTGTCACTGTTTCCATGCATCGTGACGACTTTCGCCGTGCACTGGCCGTTGGGTGGCGAGCGCTAGCCGGGGATCACCGTTCGCAGACTCATTAGCGTGCAGCTCTTCCTGCAAGATTAAGAAGGGACGGGCTTTTTAAAAAAGACTGATGGCACTCATCGATTAACATAGAACCATATGTGCGTGAATAACATTGGCTTTTCAACAAATATTGAGATAATTTTGAACTCAGCATGACATTGAAACAATAAGAACTGAAGAACTAGATCTGATTTGATTTCCTTCCATCACATGCTGTTCCTCGTTTCATTACAGCAATAGTTAGTTGAGGAAGACCATTCGACCCGGCCGGATACTGCGAGCAAGCTTCCATGCTGCTCCACCGCAGCGGCCACGAATGCTGAAATCCTCTTGGTTAGGAGGCCGGAAATAATCAAACCACTTTCCTTCAGCTCCACCTTCAGTTGGGCGCAATGCCGCGCGCTGAAAGGACCAGTGCGCTCGATTTTTGCATGAACAACTGGAGAGAGACTGCTTTTTGCGACTTGCCTCAGAAGAGCTCTTCGCAGGGGCTGAACGGTCTCGGAGACGCACTGAAGACAGCATGGCATGATCTCGCCCGGCAACTGTCGGGTGGAATTCATGGGAGCATAATGCGACAGTTGTGGACCGCACCCGCCTGGGGTTGTTCCGTCAGACGTGGCGCGCCATCCGGACAGGCGCTCATCGCCCCAATTGTTCCCGCGATGTCTTCGAATGTGAGGGGCTAAACGTTAGTAGAATCTTACTTTTCGTGTCAGGTTGGGAGATGTTGAGCCGCCAATGCAACATAATTAGTCAAGGTTGTATCGTGCGAAATGCAATGCAGCTGTCCGCGGTACACTTCTCTTTTCAGCTGACACATACGCCCATGTATAGCTCTGCATTATTTCAACTTACTCCGGGCTGTGCCGATAGCACCTAAATGAGCTGCACGCCAGATGTTCTACGAGACGTCCGTGCTATGACAACTCAACTGGTAGGGTATGCGCATTCACTTGAACGCGGTTGCCTACGTCATTAATCTGCCTCACCATTCAGGATTGGCGGCTGCCACCGACACGCATGCCCATGTTCTGTCAGTTCCGCAGCTTTACATACTTATCGGCATCGAGGCAAATACGCGCCTACATCACGGGAAACAGCACCGTTTCGGCACCGTCATGCGCTGTTGCTTGGTAAACGTGACACCCCGCTGGCTAGCGGACGCTGATGAGGACTGCGACTGGCAACGCCTTCCGTCTATAGGACGGCACGTGAACCGGTGCCACGCGATATCCTATCTGGGTCAAAAGGCCGAGCTCCTTCAGTACAGCCAATGCGGTGCGAGCCGAAAATAAGCACAACAAAAAATGGTGCCGTAAAGCTCCTGGGACAAACATCCTGCAACGTTAGATTTAAGTTGGCGTGGGTGCTGCCGGCATCTCTACATCATAACTTTCCCCTTAAATGCACGATATGTGATGTGCCGGGCGAGACCATCTGATGAGCTGGATGCGCCGCTTTCCTGACTCCTGTCGGTGCGGACAGTGACTCAGGAGGGCTGGACCCGCGCTCCCCCCGTGCCGTTTTCCTGACTCCTGTCGGCGCAGGACAGGTGACTCAGGAGGGCTGGACCCGCGCTCCCCCGTGCCACTTTCCTGACTCCGTCGGTGCGGGACAGGTGACAGAGGACAGGAGGCAGGACAGGTGAGGTGTAGGACAGGTGACTCAGGAGGGCTGGACCCGCGCTTCCCCGTCTGACATCGATGGGACAGAAGATGAGAATCGGTCGCCTCCCGTCACTGGCGCCGACAGAATGGGATAGGATGGTAAGCTCCCCCCCCCCCTCTATGGCGCCGACAGGATAGCATAGGATGATAAGCCTCCCCGTCCATGGCGCCGACAGGATGAGATAGGGTGATAAGCCTCCCCGTCCATAGCGCCGACAGGACAGGATAAGATGATAAGCCTCCCCGTCCCTGAAGCCGACAGGACGGGCGGTCAGGTCCGCTTTCTTCGCCCGCTCGGCCGTCGCGTCGCTTCCAGTGATGAGAGAAACTGAGCCCGCGCCCGCCGAGTATGTCGGTGCGGCTGCGCTGCCGGCTGGCCGCGCTTCCGCCCGCACTGGGCTCGTGGGAGCCCTACGGTTCGACGGCCGGACACGCTCGGCGCCCTCGGCGGCTGGTGCTGGGCGGTGCGGGCTCGGCGCCGGACGGTCCGGACCCGGTGCCGGACCGTCCGGGTCCGGTACTGACCGATCAGGCCCTGGCGCTGGACAGTCCGGGTTCCGTTCCGGCCCCGGTGCTGGACGGTCCCAGCTCCGGCACCGGGCGATCCGGGGCCGGCTCTGGACGGTCCCGGCCCCAGTGCTGGATGGTCCGGCCTCGGAGCTGGACGATCCGGGTCTGGCGTTGGACGGTCCTGGCCCCAGTGTTGGACGGTTCCGTCCCCGGCGCCGGACGGTCCCGGCGGTCCGGCGCCGGCGGCGGGAGCGAGCTGCGCGCCGTTGCGGTGCGTCAGCCGGCGGCCGGACCTGACGCGGTCGCGGAGGGAGCCGGCCGGCTGGCAGGGGCCGCGGGCGGGCCGGCCCGGTGCCGCTCAGTAGGCCGCCCGGTAACGGCACCGGTACCGACAGCGGCACGCGCAGGATGGAACGCCATCGGGTGTGATTGAGAACGTGGGCAGCCGCTCAGAAGGCATGGCGCATGTGTACTTTGCTGGTCTAGGCTGAGAATTGGGATCCCCAATTTTTTTAGTGCTGAAGGTGAAATGAGTTATCGGTGTGATTAGTTTCTGAGCGAAAAAAAACTGATCTTATGCATATTTCCGATGTCTATCGCAAATACTTTGTAACAATGTAACTGTAACACTCACGGTCTTCACCTTTCTGAACTTTTCGTTAAATGTAGAAACCAACGCTCTGCTCATTCTAAGATAATTGAACACCACGGGTAATTTGGCTCGGTAAATTGTGCTCATAAACAAACGATATTCCTTTCAGCTCCGAGACAATTTTTGCAGGGACCGCTTCTCTTATCTTCCTACACGCATTAGCGACAAAGAGGCAATGTAAATTCAAGCCTTCATGCTACGGTTTCCTCCCGCTTTCCTCTGCGTCCAGAGTGCTGGTTGGCTGCGGGCTCTCTCGTCAAGCTACAGATAGCAACAGTGCAGGCTACAGAGCTTTCATGTTCGTGACCCTGCAGTCGGGCAGCGTCGCTCTACCAAGGCCGCCACCCAAGCCTTTCTGCTTCCGGGATTCCACCGAGGCTGGTGTGGGGACCCCACCACCGCTGGTCCCACCCTCACCCCTCCGCCTGGTCCCAGACGCGCAACTGCCAAACCGACCGGAAATCATTCCAAACCATTCAACCATTCCAAGCCATTCCAAGCCATTCCCAACCATTCAACCATTCCAAAACATTCCAAAACATTCCAAAACATTCTAAACCATTCCAAACCATTCAACCATTCCAAACCATTCAACCATCCCAAACCATTTCAAACCATTCCAAGCCATTCGTCTGTGCTCACTGATGCTGACAGACTTTATCTCGTTGTTTGTGGTTTTGGAGACATGGGTTTCGTGACATTTCTTAAAAATGCAGACGGCGATCTCATGGCACTCGCATCAAGATCAGAATTCATGGCTCTTACGTCCGCCGCCGGTGTTGGCGGCATGTTTCTCGAAGAATGGGAATACATTAGTTTGCACTGTAATGAGCCGTACGCCGTATCCATCATATATATATATATATATATACATCTATTGTACATGTATATCTATATCTATATCTATTATATAATATATATATATATATATAATAGATAAGATATAGATGATAGATAGATATAGATATAGATATAGATATAGATATAGAATAGATTGGATATATATATATATATATATATAATTATATATATATATATATATATATATCTATCTATCTATCTATCTATATCTATATCTATATCTATCTATATATATATAATATATATATATTATATATATATATAGATAGATAGATAGATAGGGCTAAACGCTTGCAGAAATTCTGAGGGAAATTGTCCGCGATTACCGTGATAACCGTGCGCGTCCCGGTCCGCCCTTTCCCGTTTTTTTTTTTTGTCTGCGCCAGCTTGGTTTGAAATGCTTCATTGCCTCCTTAGCGGACGATGCGCTGATTGCCTCCTAAGCGGCCGATGCGGTGATTACTTCCTGAGCGGCCGATGCGTTGCCTGAGTGTTTTTCTGCGTTGTTATGTTGCCTACAGCGCTCTCATCCGCGTCGTCAGCGATCCTCCCGGCCGCCCGCCGGCGGAGCCGTGGGAGAGGGTCGGCAGCAGTGTACCGAGGGGAATGGTGTCACCCCATGGCTAGCCATGAAGCAATCTGTGACCAAAACAGGCCGTCCGCCGGCGGGAAATTGAGGCCCGGCCGCTTGTTTGGCTCGGCTCAGCTCGCGGGAAAGGGAGCGAGACCTGGGAGGGGTGGAGGGGGAGGCAGAGGAGGATAACGCAGAGGGAAAAGGACGAGGAGATGAAAGGGGTAAGAAAGAGGGGAAGGGTAGAAGAGAGGCGAAAAGGATATATTGGAGCAGAAAAAGAGAAAAATAGAGGGAAGTGATCAGAGAGGGCTGAGAGGGAAGGAAAAGGAGATATGGTAGGAGAGCGCAAAATACGGAGAAGAAAAGGGTGGATAGAGAGAGCGGAAGAAAGAAAGAAAGGGAGAGAGACAAAGAGAGAGACACGAGGAGAGAGAAGAGAGAGAGAAAGAGAGAGAGCGAGAGAGAGAGAGAGAGAGAGAGGAGAGAGAGAGAGAGAGAGAGAGAGAGAGAGAGAGAGAGAGAGAGAGAGAGAGAGAGAGAGAGAGAGAGAGAGAGAGAGAGATAGAGAGAGATTAGAGTAGAGAGAGAGAGAGAGAGACGTAAAACCAGCAGTATCGTTTTCAGTCCGCATCGGTGTATAGCTCACACATCTTTGATTGCATGAGCCTGCTCCCGGTTTACATCGCGTGGCTGCTTGTACGGTTGCTTTAACAATGGTGGCCTTATCAATGAATGGACCGGAATTTCATGCACGCCAACCGTGACCAGTCTGATCTTACGGCATATTACACGCTGCCTGGTGGATCTATCTTTACGTTTCATCCTTGAAAAACCGTGTTCGGACGGATGACGACACCTCCCAACATCGTGCACGTGCATGGAGGTATCGGTGCACATGGCGCCGCAGGGCGGATGCTACGCAGCAACTCCGCGGCGACGCTTGAGATTCGAATGCCGCTTTCACGTACACCTCCTGAGTGTTGCTGTTTGGCATGGAATCATGCCGTTCGGCATGTGCTTCGCCTTCGCAGCGTTCGGAATCCATCTGGCCGGGCAGACGGATTCATGCCGGGTGGAGCCGGCTGTAGGACAGCACGCGGAAGTGCGAATAACGGCCGCCGGTAGTGGCCGGTGGCGCCTTGGTCCAGCACGGCGACAGCGCTCGATCGCGACAAAAGGATGAAAGCTAAACGTTTCCGGTGTATCGTAACCGAAGCGCTGCATTCGCATCGGCACGTGAAAGAGCCGATGTCGTTCGGAGCCGGCGTTCACTGCCGTCGGAGGTGAAAAGCAGTCGGGCCCCCGCCCGCGGCGCCGGCCCAGCGCCGTTTCACTTTCTTGCGCCACCGCAGCGGCGCCGCTGGTGGCGTCGGCCGGCG